CATTGTATTTTCTTATAAGTATCACATCAGTTACTGTATAATTTGATATATGTCATTCAGTAATAATTGTTTGTAATTTTCATTAAATTTTTTTCTTTATTCCATTTAGAAGGGATTTTTTGTCCAAATGTATGAAGGTTTTTGGAGATTTTTTTATTAATTTCTATTTTATTGCATTTTGATGAGAATGTTATTAATATGATATTGCTTATTTGGAATTTATTAAGACTTTGATATTTGACTTGCGTTCTAGTTTTGTAAATGTTTCAAATGTGATTGAAAATAATTTATGTCCTATATTTTATAGGACCAGGATTCAAAATGTATTGTGTATGTATTAACTCAAACTTAATAATTGTGTTGTTTGATATTATATATTCTTACATATATGCTTATCAGTTTCTGAGCGAGAAATGTTAAAATTTCTCCTCTAGTAATAAGGATTTGCCAAATTTTTTCTTGTTCTTCTGTCAAATTGCTTCATCTTTAAGGACCTCAGTTTCTTTGTCTATAATATGAAACGGGAAATTGTAGGTAAAACAACGGGTACTGGAATTGTAGGCACTCAATCAGCCAGAAGTGCTCTTGCTTGGTCTTTATTACTATTATACATAATATTAGTAAATCTAAGCCCTGCCCTCTCAAGATGCTCTCAAGATGGCTTAGTTTTGGAGAGTGAGGCACATCAGTGAACCTCCATCAGTGAGGATGGAGACCAAGCAAGGAATACTAAACCAACTTGACCAGGTTATATCACCTAGGCAGGGCCAGTGACAATGAAGAGTCACTCCATTCACCAGAAAAAGCAGTTTCTTCTAGAATGAGCATGTCTTGGGAGCCTTCTTCAAGTCACCCAGGGAAGAATTGTTTTGCAGTGGAGTGAGCAATGATAGAACAAGGTAGAGGCCAGACCTCAGAATCCTTGCTTCAGCTAAGGAGGGCTGTAGGGCATTGGAGCCTCATGAAGCTGTTGAAGGAACAAATGGCTACTGGTAAAATCTTTAAAGATTCTAGACACTACCAAGGGCCATTTTCTTAAAATATGTTTCTAGAGAAGTTTTGGCAGTTTTCCTATAAGAAATAGTATTTTCTGAAGTATTGGAGCAAAAGGCTCAAGTGATTGTTAGGAAAGCTCTCCTTCTCCTACCTGGGTCTAGTTTCAGGAGAAAGCCCTAAGAAGAGACCAGACGGTGTGGTCACCTTCCACTCCTACCACTACATTTTCTGAATGACTGGGATGGCAGGATTGTTCAGGATATTTTCTTTTCTTCTTTCCTCCCTCCCTCTTTCCTTCCCTCTCTACAACCCTCTCTCCCTCCCTTTCTTCCTTCTTTCCTTCCTTCCTTCTTATGTTCCTTCCTTCCTTATCTTTCTTTCTTTCCTTTGTGCCTCAGATATGTTAAGTGAAAGCTCAATCTAAACAAAATATATTGCTACTGACTCAGTCTCCAGGTTCATCTCCCAATGCCTGGATGCCACAGTATATGGCACAAATCTAGGGTTTAATAAAAGTGAAATGATCACTCCAATGCAGACTGGTAAAGTAGTTAAACACACAGGCTCTGGATGTGAGTTCAAAATTCTGTCTCTATCCCATACTGGCTGTGTATGTTTGACCGAGCAAGTCACAACTTCTCCGATACTCCTTTTCCTCATTTGCAAAATCAGGTTCTTAAACCTGTAGAATATACAACACCAAGAGTGAACCCTAATGTCAACTATGGCTTTTGGGTGATTATGATGCATCAATGTAGGTTCATCAATTGTAACAAATATACCACTCTGGTGGGGAATGTTGATAATGGGGGAGGCTATGCATGTGTGGGGTCAGAGAGTATATGAGAACTTTCTGTACTTCTCCTCAATTTTGCTGTGAACCTAAAACTGCTCTAAAAAATAGTCTTAATTAACAATTTTTTAAAAAATCAGGTTGTTTTGATGATTAAATGAGATATTGAGGATTTATCATAGTGTTTGGCATTTAGTAGGCCCATAATAAATGCTAGCTTCCTATTCCTTTCTTAAATTCATATCTAGTTAACTCTGCCTTACTTTGAGCTCCACAGAAACCCTCTTCAATTTTGTATCAACTATGCATTACAGGCACATATTTTTTCATCCAATGGGCACTTATTTTGCACAGCTTACTATTCCTGGGAAAGCCTGATATAGATGTAACCCATTTCCCCAAGGAATTTTAATCTATTTAGGAATACAACACACATAGATATGCACACATACATCAAATCAATAGAAAGCAATGGATTTGCAAAGGCTGAGTTATAATGCTGGGGGGCAGAGGCATAGGAAAAGGTCAGACTGGAAGTAGATATTGGAGACAAGGTAGAATATTAAAAAAGGAAAGAGTGGTGGATTAGTAACACACCTCTGGACTTTTCAGAGGGTTCAGAAGTAGACATAAATGCCCATGGCAGAACTCAAAGATACATTACATGCAAAGTCATTATTCTTCCCATTAGCAACATTTATTGAATGCTAACTTTGTTTCAGGCATCGAAGTGGTTGCATAGCTCTGAGACACCTTGGTCCTTCCCTCCAAGGTATACAATCTAGTAGATAAAGCAAGATACGGGTATAAGAAAAGTGGATTAGAACAAAGCAGTATAGGAGTATAGGATGATTGTGTGCTGCAATCATTGGTCTTAAAGTTCCAATGAAGGAGTGAACACTTTTGGTCCGCTCAGGAGGAGAGCTATGATTAGACATATGGGGAAGATTTTTCCCTGATGGAAAGCAAGGGCCTCGTGAATGAGGACAATAGCAAGTGCAAAGGAGAGGATATGAAGTGCAGGGAAGGGAAGAAGTGTCGTGAAAGACAAGATCTGAGGGGTAAGATTCTGATTGTGGAGGCCTTGTAAGTTAAGGGATTTGAACTTTGTTCTGACGACAATGAGGAGCCATTGAAGGATTTAAAGTAGAACAGTGATGTGGTCAGATTTCTGTTTAGAATAATCATAAGGCAGCCATGAGGAGGATTAATCGATTGGGACAAGCCTGGAGGCAGTGAGACTGGTTAGGAGGCTACTGCAATGGTCCAGGAAAATGATAAAATAGAAAAAAGCCATGCTCTAGGACAGAGGAATTCCCAATAAGGAAGGTGTCAGGAAGCAAGACCCCTCTCTAGGTCTGGCTGCCTTTAGACTTGAAACGACTTCACTAGGTCACACTTGTTTAGACCTTGCCCAAACCTAACTTGGCCACAAGTTTTGAGTCAGGAAGTAATTCGCTGATGTCCTTTTGTGACCAAGGGCTCAAACATGTTGGTTGTCTGGCCAGTCTAGGAGTGTAGACTATAGACAGAGAACAGAGTAAAGCCAGAGTAAAGGTTTATGAAGGTCTTGGCCTACATAAAACATGACTTTTGGCCGGCCCCGTGGCTTAGCGGTTAAGTGCGCACGCTCCGCTGCTGGCGGCCCGGGTTCGGGTCCCGGGCGCACACCGACGTACCGCTTCTCCGGCCATGCTGAGGCCGCGTCCCACATACATCAACTAGAAGGATGTGGAGCTATCTACTGGGGCTTTGGGGGGAAAAATAAATAAATAAAATCTTTAAAATTTATTAAAAAAAAAAAAACATGACTCTTACCACAACTCTAAGCAGCCACACACTGAAAGCCATCTTGGGTCCAATTAGGGAAATCAGAGCTCTAGAACTTCCCCACATATGGTGGTAGAGGATAGTTTAGATTAGTAAGACCTACAAAGAAAGTATATCAGCCCTACCCAACCATCTCCCCATTTTCTTAATATCTTTTGTTTCTACCCAACCATCTCCCCATTTCGTCAATATCTTTTACTTCTAAATTTGCCTTCTACCCAGCTCCAGCCAAACCAGCATCTAGATTCTTCTATCTCAGCCTTTGATCCCCAATTCCCCTAATCCCTTTCACTACTCATCCATTCCTACCACTCCTCACTTTTTACAGACTTTATTCAAACCATCCACCTCTTCCTAGATTGGGTTCTCTTATGAACCCAATCCATCCTGCTTCCTTTACCTTGAGTCCCAGCCTCATAGCTCATGTTCCTTGGTGCTTGCTGACAGGCATCCCAGTAATCCAGGAGGTGATACAGCAGAGTGAAAAGAACATAAGCTCTTTGGACAAACATACCTGAATTCAAATCCTGCATTCACCATTCATTAGCTGTGTGACCCTGAGTGAGTTACTTAATCATTTTTAGCTACAGTATTCTCATCTGTAAAATGAGAGCAACAATAGTACCTATGTCACAGAGTTCTTGGGAGGATTATGAGATAACTGATTTAGCATTTAGCACATAGAAAGAACTCAATAAATGTCGATTTGAATAAAAGGTCATAGTTCAATTGCCTTTTGGGTGGGATCTTCGGTCTTCCCTAAATGAGTTGGAAGCTGCCAAAAGGTAGTGACCATAGCTTTCCTCCTTGTGACCCCTCTCCATCCCTGCATCTGATATGGGGCTCTGTATACAATAGGTATTCAATTACTTTAGTGACCTGATTAGGCATGATCCAAAGCCACAGGCAGAGAATTGGCTACGGGAAAGGGAGGGGGTCTTAAGGGACTGAATCCATTATAAATTTAAGAGACCAGATTTACCAGAAAGGGAAACAATTCAGAAACCCTGGACTCTGAAGGTAAAGAGAGAGGGTGGCATCTTGCCTTATACTGAAACTGAGTAATGTAGTAGAAAGGGAGTTTCAGAGCCAGGCGGTCCTGAATTGAAATTCAAGTTTCACTGCATACAAGCTATGTGACCTTAGGCAAATCACTAAACCTCTCAGGGCCTCAGTTACCTCATCTATAAATTGAAGATAATAATACTTGACTTCCAGAATTGTGAAGATGATTCAAGGCATAATCTACTTAAAATTTCTAGAATAATGCCTGACACATGGTTGGTGGCCAAAAATAAGTCACCTCCCTCTCCTTCCCTTCTTTATCTTTCCTTTACGGCATTGGACATCAAGGAAATCTAGGTGTGCGAAGGGAGAAGAATTATGAGGTCTTTTCGAGAACATTCCCAAATGTTTCCTTCACATCTTTGTTCTTCAGACTGTAGATCATGGGATTGAGCATGGGGATGACCACTGTGTAGAATAGAGAGACCAAGTTGTCTCTGCCTATTAAGTACTCAGAGGATGGGCGCAAGTAAATGAACACTGTGGTTCCGTAGTACAGGCTGACAGTAGTCAGGTGGGAAGCACAGGTGGAGAATGTCTTGTGTTTGCCCTGGACTGAGGGGATTCTGATGATAGCCAAGAAGATACATATGTAGGAGACCAGGACAATTGGCAGGGACACAAACACATTAAAGCCACCGCAAGCAAACAGGAGAAGCTGCAGGACCTGTGTGTCAGAGCAAGAGAGTTTTAAAAGAGGAAGTATATCACAGAAGTAGTGAGTGATGACATGGGACTCACAGAAGGTCAGATGAAAGGTTGTGCTAGTGAGGAGCACCATGTTCATCAGGCCCACTGCATAGCTGGCAGCCACTAGCTGCAAATAGAGCCTTGGAGACATGATGATATGGTACAGCAGAGGGTTGCAGATGGCCACATAACGGTCATAGGCCATTGACGCTAGGAGGAAGAACTCCGTGACAGCAAAGATCAAAAAGCAGCTTGTCTGGACCACACAACCAGAGGAGATGGTTTGGCAACCAGAGAAAAACCCCATCAACATTTTTGGGACTGTCACCGAAGAATAACAGAAGTCAAGAAAGGACAGGTTGCTGAGAAAGAAATACATGGGAGTGTGAAGTCGTGGGCTGACCACAGTGAGGGCAAGGAGGCCCAGGTTTCCCACCACTGTGACTACATAGATGAAGAAGAAGAGGGCAAAGAGGATGGGCTGAAGTTGAGGATCATTGGTGAGGCCGACGAGGAAGAATCCACTCAACTCGCTGGTGTTGCCTGCTCCCATTGTGGCACTGCAGGTCTGCAGGAGGGACATGCATGACAATAGTGAGACATGAACAGCTCTAGTCCTTAAACAGATACCTGCAGGGTCTGGTCCTGGCTATCTAGGAGGTGACACATTGTGTGTGTCAACTATGGCAAATGCTTCATCCTGGCTCACTCATCTCTTGCCACCCTCCAGTCTATTGGATACAAGGTTTAAAGGCATAAGGATGGAATCTGCAGTCAGAAGAATGGGCCTGAATCTCGGTTTTGCCATTTATTGTCTCTGTGACCTTGGGCTAGTGTCTTAACCTCTCTGAGTCTTCTCTGTAAACAGGGATAAAACATCAATCTTGTAAGACTGGTTGTAAGGACTGACGGTGATGGTAGGTGTAGGTAAAATGTCTAGCAAGGCATGAGAAGAAAAGCGGTACTCAATGAATTCTAATTTCCTACCTCCTTCTACACCCTTTTTCTTCCCAACACTGAACTTGTCCTCTGCCAAAATTTAGCCTGAGCATAAAGTCAAGAACACAAATCTTAGACATGGGAAGGACTCTAGAAACTTACTAGTTCTTTCATTATCAGTTGTGTGTTTGAGGGACAGCAGGGGATGAGTGGAGGGGGAATATCAAGCAATATAATATAGAGGTAAGAGGGCAAGCTCCAGAGTCAATTATATTTGGGTTAGAATCCAACTGTATGACTTACTAGCTGTGTGACCTTGGGCAAGCTACTTATCCTGTCTGAGTTTCAGTTTCCTCATCTTTAAGATGAGAGTACCAAATATTTTCAACTTCATTAATTTACTGTGAAGATGAAATGAGGTAATTCATGTAAAGCGCTTAGCAGAGGATCTGGCACACACTAAGCACATGGTAAATATTAGCTATTATTATGATTGGGAATCCCCTGGTAGGCTTGTTCAAACCACACACAAGCCCCTTTTAGATTCTGTCACTTGCCCCTTGCTAAGAAGCCCTTCCTAAACTGAACTCCTGTTACTAATCATTGTGTGGTAATTCTCCAGTGTGTTGAGGCAGTAAAAAGGGTGAGTGCTACTCTCATCTAATATCGTGTTAAAGAGGGAGAAACCCAGAAACCAGGGCCTCAGAGGGGTAATAAATTATCCATAGTTGCCCAGGGATTTGGTGTAAATGCCAGAACTGGAACCCAGGTATCCTGTCTACAGCATTGTTTCCACTTGGAGGAAGTAACAGCCTCTGACTCCTCCTCTTTCAGAAGCATGAAATCCATGTCCTCATCAAAACACAAGAGGCTGCTTCCCCCATAGTTCCTTGAAAAATCACAATGTTGAATTCTGCTTAGGGCCATTTCTATCCTTTGTCTTAATCAGGGAGATTGCCAATGTCTGAGTGTACTTGATTTTAATATTGTTTTTCTTGTTAAGAGCTGGGATAGTGAAGGACAAAATATAGTAGTGCATAGAGGATTTATATCCTTGGATTTAGAGTCAGAACACCTGGGTTTGAGTTCTGATTCCATACCATTTTAGCTCTATAGCTTTTAGTAAGTCCTTTCTGAGTTATAGGATCTTCATCTGTAAAATGGAAATAATAACACTTGTTCTTCTGATCTCACAGGATTGCTACAAAGATCCAATGAGAGTCTCTAGGAAAATGCTTCTTAAAGTGTAAATACAGTCAGGGCAGATACTCAGAAAGTATGCACTGGGAAAGCCAAATTAACTTTTAAAAAGTTCTATGACAATTGTTAAATTGCTGATCTGGAGCCCTCTCATCCCTGGGTGCTTCCCTGGCACCTGCCAGCCCACCTTGGCGTTCACAACAGTGGCCTCCATCATCTTGTGGGCTCCAAGTCAGACCCTGTGAGAGAAAACTAGATTAGCCTCTGGCAACTTGTAAGTAAATGCCTGGTGTCCTTCTGCCCCTCTGAGGCTGTGGCTGCCTGCTTTTGGCTGGTGTTCCATTAAAGTCACCTTTATGGCCATCTTTGGGAACCAAAATTTCCACAGTATACAGTAGTGGTTGTTAAAATTTTAAATATTATCCTGAATATATTAATAGCTACCATTAATAAAGTACCTAACAAGTGCCACACACTATGCTGGGTGATTGATAGAAATCATTTTATTTAATCTTCTTAACAACCCTAGGAAGTAACTACTATTATCAGTCCCATCTTACAAACCAGGTAACTGAGGCTTGGAGCATTCCAATGCCTTGCTCAAGGTCTTATAGCTGGTTAAGTGGCAGAATCTACATTCAAATATAGGTCTGCAATATTCTAATGCTACTGTTGTATCCATGCAGTCTTTTTTAAATATAGAATCCTAAGTTAAATGTTATTAAAGTTTTTTTCAAGGGACTTACAAATCTATCCTTTCTTTGTTATCATGCTAATCTTGGAAATAATCAAGATGCTTTCTCTTAATTTTACTGATAATAAATCCAAGCTACAAAAAAGTTAGGTACATTGTTCTTGGGCGTGCATGCATTCATTCATTCAACTAATATTCAATGGGCACTTTGTGTGTTCCAGGCAATGTGACAGGCACTAGGGGTACTCTCATGGCCTTTACAATCTAAAAGAAGAGATGTACAGCAAACAAACAAACAAATAATTTTTAAAATAAATAAAATTATGAAGAAAATAAAGCAAGCTAATGGAATAGAGGTCTGAGGGTTTGGAGGGGCAACATTAGGTAGAATGGAAAGGAAAGCCACTCAGAGGATTTGACATTAAGAGCTGGAATCTGAATGGAGAGGAGCTAGCCATACGAAGATCCAGAGCACACACAGACTGCTTAGTGACATTTTCAGGAATAGAACCCAGGTCTCCTAAATTCTAGCCAGGGCTGCTGTCTCCAATTGTAAGTCTGGCCCAAGTAGAAGCTGCTAGGGATGACTGGATGTGTGGAACATTCAAACTTTTATCTACAAGCATCCCTGTCCTTTATCACCCACCTTTCTTCTTTGAATGTCTCTAGAAGTCACAAGTATTCACCAGCCGCTTTTCTGTTTCTGTACTCATCCCAAAAGCTTCAGCCCCACGTCAGTGGTTGGGCTCTTTCCAGATGTTCCCTTGGCAGGCACAGAAAAGTTCATGTGCTCAGAACAGTAAAACCTCTGGAACTAAGCTCCAAGTTACACTCCCCTCCCCACTTCCTGCTCCAGGCTTGGCCATTTCTGTGCGATTGGCAGAATCATTAATATAGCAAAGTTTCTGCCTTCTTGACTGGTCCCCTGAGATGCCGAGAAAAGTGAGCCCCGGGACTGAGTAACTGTGACGTTCAAGACGGCTGGAGCAGTAAGCAGAGCCATCCCCAATGGGGTGTTTTCACTGACTCATACTGAGAGTCTGGGGACCTGTAGTCACTACCAAGATGTTTTGGAGACAGTCGGAAGAATCAAATTGGCTATGAGATGTATTTTGTTATAAACGTTTTACCTAAAATGCATTCTTAGTCATATTAAAAAGTCTTAGCCACAATTAAAATACCAGTTGTTTTCCCAAACAGGGATTCTAGGAATTATGGATAAATGGCCAATACAGAAGATGGTAGTAAGGATATATTTTTGATTTTATGTTCTGTCATGTCACTTTGTTTACTCAATCCTTTACTCTGATTATAAACTACAAATTACTTTTAAACATCAAATAATTATTTAATTAGTTTTTATGTGGTCAATAAAGTCTCTGAGTGCCACTCTAATAAAATACTCTTGTACCTAAGATGTATGTGGCGGCCACTTGCCTTGCACTATACTGTTCCATTTTTTATCAAACCAGCTTTGAGTTGTGGAAGACTTGTTTCTATGCATTTGTTCTATTTTTTCCATTTAATAAATGTTTATAAAACATCTATCATGTGCCTGTCATTGTGATAGGAGCTAGGGATACAAAATCAATAGTAAATTCATAATATCCCCTACATATATTCCATTCCCACTCCCCAACACACGCACATGTGTAACTGTGCTCACACACATACACACACAGTCTCTCATTTGGAAAGCAAAAGCAGCCTCAATCTCCTCTGGTCTGGCTCATGAGCAGCTTTTATAGAAAGTACCAAGTTATTATGCATTTTAAGGGCAAAGCTATTAATTTTAAAACAAGAAAATTGTTTAAAAAGTAGACTTTATAGACACGTCTCTTGCGGGCAGATTCATTTAATTCTGTTGCTTGGCTATGCAGAATTTTGTAGTCATTTTAAGTAAAGAAATTATTCTTTTTTTTCAAGTTAAAGTGTGATACATTAGGCTATATTTGAACCAGTTTGTGAGCTTCTGCTATGATCTGATGGGCTGACTCCACATATTGAAGAACACTGTCCCTAAATTTAATTATCTTGGGGCATCATCACTGCACAGGATAAAATGAGCCATATTGATCATCACAACTGCAGCCTTTGCTGAAATGGAGGTTATGGGATAAAGGTTAACTCATTAATGCTCAGGGATGAATGAGGTAATGTGCCAACAGACCAAACTGGGGCCCAAATGTTTTGATCCAGAGACCCATATCTCTTTCCCATGTTGTAACACATTAGTGAAGATGTCTTTATCCATTGTCACTGCCTGTAGACATTTGAATAACATAGATGCAATACCTTCTGGGCACTTAGCCCTGTGCACTATCGAATTCTCAAACTTGAAAGATTTCTCAATGGCTAGAAGGAAAATTCTGATGGTACAGTAAAGTGCCTAATTTATAAGAATTCAAATGATGGCATCAGTGCAGTCCCTGCTTTTTTTCTCATAAGTGTTTATTAATGAGCACTGTGCCATCCCTAACTATTTGATTGGGGCAATGGAATAAATTAGTCCTCCAAATTGTGAAGGCTGTGGATTTATGCCTAGCTGAAGCATTTCCATCCTTGCAATGTCGAAGAGGTTGACCTTTCTGATGTTAATTTGCTTCTCCATCTGTGCCATGAATTTCGGGAGGACATGAGAAACAGGTTTGATGATACCCAAATGTGCGCCCCCTTTTTATATTACTGTGCTGATGTCTTGATGAAGGAGTCACCTATCT